CACTGCTTGCAAAATTTTCTTTGTCTTAACTTTTCAGAAGTTTGACTGTATGTCCTGATATGGATAAATTTGGATTTATCCCACTTGGTGTTTGTTCAGCTTTATGTCTTTTGCAAATTTGGATGCATTCAGCTGCTTCTCAGCCCTCTCTCTTTCTCCTTTCATTCTGAGACTCTGACAACCATAGGTCTTTTGTTACCATTCTACAGGTCCCTGAGGCTCTTTGCATTTTTTTCCTCGGCTATTTTTTTTTTAATCTGTTGTATAATTTGAGTAATTTCTATTTAATTTTCAAGCTCCCTTATTCTTTAATCCTTCTATTCTGCTCTTGAGCCCATCTATTGAGTTTTTCACTTTAGTTATTTCATTTTTCTGTTCTAAAAACTTCCATCAGAGTCCTCTTTATATCTTTTTATTCATTTGCTGAGACTTCTTATCTTTTTATGAGTCTCTAGTTTTTCATTTGTTTTAGGTGTGACCATAATTGCTCATTGAGGAGTTTTATGATGGCTGTTTTAAAGTCTATGTCAGATAATTCCAACATCTTGTCTTCTAAGTGTTGGCATCTATTGATTGTTTTTGTTTTGTTTTTTTTTTTTTCCCTTCAGTTTGAGATCTTCCTCGTTCTTGGTATGACAGATTGTTTTGTTGTTGTTGTTGTTGTTGTTGTTGTTGTTGTTGTTGAAATCAAGACATTTTGGGTATTATGTTCTGAGATTCTACGTCTTACTTAAGTTTTCTGTTTTAATTAGTTTCCTCTGACACTGCTCTGTCAGAAGAGAAACCCCACCTCATTCCTGCTAGATTGGAATAAAAGTCCTGGTTCCCCACTCAGTCTCTGCCAGTACCCTAAGGCAGGGATCTCCCTATTAGAAGCTGGTGGGTAGGGAGGAGGTGGGGGAGTTCTGGCTCCCCACTAGGCCTCCACTGATACTTCCCTTGGTGGTTGGGATAGGAGTGCCTTATTACCTGTCACTACTCCCACTGATACCAATATCTAGTGACCCCGACAAACTACCAACAAGAGGCAGAAGGACTGGTTACCACTGGAGATAGTGCAAGTCCTAACTCCCCACTAGGCTTCCTCCTATACCACTCCAGGGGAGGAGAGTGGCATCTTACTACTACTCCATGGGAGTGGAAGGCCAACCTTCCTATGAGGAGAGGATGGCCTCATTATTTTCTGGAAGGGATGAAAATCCTGGCTCCCTTCTTAGCCTTGTATGAAACCACTGTATGAGATTGGGAGGCCTTGTCACCTCAGCAGCTTGGAAATCTGGGCTCCCCACTTGGCTTTTGCTGGTGAAGGTGGGACTGGGACTACAGGCTTTTCCATGTTGTTTGGCTAGAGGGGAGTTGTTACTATCTAAACATTCTCTTTTTGTTATACTGCCTCTTTGTCCTTTGGCTAGGAGAAGCCTGCTTTTGTTGGGGCTTTTGTTGTCTGTGCCTGTTGATGTTTCTGGGTTGCCAGTGCCTTTAGTTCCAAGTCTGAGATATGTAGGGCAAAAAGAAATCTCAGGAATTTGCCACAGTATTGTTGCTTGGGTTCTAAAGGTCCTAGTTGGTCTGCCTTCTCTTTCCACCTATCGTATTTTTCTTATATTTGTTTTATATATAATATCCAGGGGTTTTAGTTGTACCTAGTGGGAGAAATAGGTGAAGTACGTTAATTACATCTTTCTGGAAGCGGAAATTTCTAGACTGCCCAAATTTTCATGATAAGCTGGAGATCCAGATTGTAATATAAATTCTCCTATTTTATCTTTTTTAATCTTGAAAACTAATTTTTAAATAACAGGCAGGCTAAGTTCAGAACGTCTTTTGGCCAACAGTCTGTGTACTCTGCTCAGTTCCTTAAAAAATTAGCTTTCTCTGACTAAGATTTGTCATTTTTTTTACCTCATTATATATAAACATCTATCATTTGTCCAGAGATGACATTGCTGACAAACTTAACTATCAAGGGAATAGACAAAAAAGAGGAATTTAGCAAGAATAGATCACTGGACAACCAAATTAGACGTCAAAATGTCCACCCACTATAGTTCTTGTACTTTATGAATAGGTAATAAGCCTTTAGGCCCCCACTTAGAACATGATTTTTTAAAAATATATGAAATAAAATCACATACCCACACACAGAAAGTCAACCCGCTTTCTAAAGCATGATACAAATTAAAGGAGATAGGATTTCATGAGTCAGGAACACTAAAAACATTAAAAAGTAAAAACGTACAGTGAATCAGGAGAGAGAAACATTATAAAATTCACTCAAAGCACCCAACTTCCCAAAGAAACACTGTGACTCTTCAGTGTTGGTGCACACACAATCTTAAATACCTTTAATAGGGGCTGAAAGTCTCTCTTTATCTGTGTGTAGTTCAATATTGATATTTATAATTAGAATTTTTAATTCTAGGGTTTTATATTATTGTTGCCATCCTCTGTGCTATGCATATCTGTAACTACTTAGCTAAGAAAAAAATTTTCAATTATTTTAGAGGAAAAAAACCTATTTCGTATAGATCTCTACCATGTATTAGACAACATATTAGGAGCTTTACCACCGTATCTGTTTTAATTTTTATAAAAACTTTATGAAGTAGATTCTGTTATGTTCCATATTCACTGGTTGAGAAATTAAATTTGAAAGTCCAGGACTAATTTTACAAAAGCTCTGGATAATCAGTGGCCATGGTAAGGTTGGCATCCACTCAAGACTTAAGTGGTCGTGCTCTTAACCAGCCTGTAATATGAATTCCAAAATGTTGAGATCACATGTCGTAAACTAGGGAAGGTGATTTTTGGCATCTAGAAATTGCATTCGTGTTAAGATACTTGGATCAGCTATACAGCCGCAAAAACTTCCATGCCAACATTGAGTATTTGTGTCCTTCAAGCAGGTCCTGGGGTCTTGACTCGTAACTCGCAAAGATGCTTCTCAGCCTCCTGAGTCAGGAACTGTACGATCCAGGAAACTAAAGATTAGCTCTTTTATAAGTGATCGTGGCAGCAATACCACTGTGCTTGGTGTTCACAACAGGTGTACCTCTTTTTAGTTGTCAATTTTCAAACAAAATTGTCCATGATTATAAGCAGTATTTGATAAAGTATACAAATAATATAAATCAGGAGGATTCATGAGATCCAAAAGGGACGCTTAGTGTAAAAAGACAAGGGAGGGGCGCCTGGGTGGCTCAGTTGGTTAAGCGACTGCCTTCGGCTCAGGTCATGATCCTGGAGTCCCTGGATCGAGTCCCGCATCGGGCTCCCTGCTCGGCAGGGAGCCTGCTTCTCCCTCTGACCCTCCCCCCCACCATGTGCTCTCTCTCTCTCATTCTCTCTGTCTCAAATAAATAAATAAAATCTTAAAAAAAAAAAAGTTAATGATGTATTTACCATACAACCCAGCAATGCCATTTCAATACATTTACATTAAAAAAAAAATAAATAAAAAAAAATAAAAAGACAAGGGAAGGATAACTTGGCTTCTGCCATCTTGAGACAGATGCCATGCACATAGCTTTGCATACAGGCTAGTTCTTTGGTATAAATGGGCATCCCATTACAGTGTGGTAAATAGCCAAAGAAGAGCAGAGGAGTTCAAAACTACAGATCTGCTCACCAAATATTTTCTGACATATTGAGGAGGAAGTGAGCAACAGTAGACTGGAGAAAAATCATTATGCTCGCTCTGGGTTGTATTTTCCATTTTAATTAAATTTCATATTTGTCCATTCTGTCCAGGCCCTGGCCCTATGGTCCGTGCTATTTTGCATGGCCAATGAAATCAGTAAGAGCCTATCATTTGAAACTTGGAGGCATCGAAGCGATTTTGTTGTATTTGCTAGGCAGAAGGCTAGTGTTTTCTGAGTGATGTTTGGCATACACTTTCAGGCTCAGGGTGTCAAGTGACAGACTGAGGGGCTCTCTGGTTGCCAGTTCATATGTTAAAGAGATTCCTTCCCATCAGTTTACCTCTTGCATTCATTTACTCTTCCCCATTTTTCTTTTCAGCAGTAGCTAGCCCAGCAATGAAGCCCAGCAGGCTTAGGTTGATGATCAGGTGGTTGTGCCAGTTAGACCTCTTGTGAGCAGGATCTCCTATTGGTAGATGACTAGGGAAGGGAGTGACCTGCTGTGTTCAAGACACAGATTTGCAAAGGAAAGAAAACTGATTAGGAGTTTGCTGAAGGTTCATTAAAAAAATCAGAGGAGCCGGGCACCTGGGTGGATCATTCAGTTAAGCGTCTGCCTTGGCTCAGGTCATGATCTCATGGTGCTGGGATTGAGCCCCATATTGGGCTCCCTGCTCAGCGGGGAGTCTGCTTCTCCCTCTCCCTCTGCCTCTCCCCAACTCATGCTCTCTTTCTCTTTCTCCCTCTCTCTCATTCTCATTCTCCTTCTCAAATAAATAAAATCTTAAAAAAAAAAAAGAAATCAGAGGAGGATTGTTTGCACATCAAGAATGGCTTGTATTACTATTCTTGAGACCCAGCTAGGCAATTTTATGTTAGTCAGATGTGACTTGGTACCATTGCAGAGCTTCAGTAGCATATATGTATGCCACCGTGTACTTTTCTTTTATTTTGATTTATTTAATTTTGATATTTGCTTTACCCCAACCTCTCTATAGCAAAAAGACAGTGCAATTAAAGATGGGTAAAATCAGTTTTGCTTTGAGCCACTTCATAGTAAAATCTTGCATTACTGACAGACTTATGTCATCTGTGTACATATAGGAAAATCAAAAGATGAGTTATTTTAATACTATTTTTTTTCTCAAAATCTATTAACCAGCAAAAGAATTAATTTACTGTATCCAGTTGTTCTATTTAGGCTGATTGTTTAAGTATGCATTAAACATTTGGAAAAGAGATCGTACACCACTGACCAAATTCCCTTTTTATGTTTTTATCTGAGTCAGAGAATGAGTCAGAACTGAAGGCAGCATTTCTTATAATCACAGTCTTGTTCTTTTCCTTTGATGTTTTCAGGTGGCAAAGTGACAAGTGCCAAAACTCAGGCCTCACTTTTCTGAAAGTGTCGACTTTCTGTCGAACCCAGAATAATGGATGTGAAGGACAGGCGACACCGCTCTCTGACCAGGGGGCGGTGTGGCAAAGAGTGCCGCTACACGAGTTCCTCCCTGGACAGTGAAGACTGCCGCGTGCCCACGCAAAAGTCCTACAGCTCCAGTGAGACCCTGAAGGCCTATGACCATGACAGCAGGATGCACTATGGAAACCGAGTCACGGACCTCGTTCACCGGGAGTCAGATGAGTTTCCGAGACAAGGTAGGTAGAGCTGACCCTACTGACTTGCTCCGAGCTGCCTTACGTTCTTGCACTGTTGCGTGTCGATCACTGAGGTTGGTAAAACTGGAAGCAAAGCTTGCTGGCATCATCTCGCCTTTAGAGTTTAGTTTAAGAGAACAATCCTTTTATCGACCCATAGCAGAATCCTGTGGGAATGACAGAAGAGCCTCTTTTGTCCTGGATGCTGAATTCCTTGACAATTTGGTGGTTGCTTTGGAGCCCCACAATGGTAGGTTTTGATAAATGTAACATATAGCAAACCTTTGGCTCTGTAAGGGGTATTCCTGAGACCATTATGAATCCCTGTCCTGAGGAACTCAAAACTATCTGTGGCTTTTAAACTGCTCGAATTTCTACTGTTTTACACATTGAGCTTCTCAGTTAGATTCTCTTTGAAAAAAATGCTATATTGATTAAAATCTATGCGAACCTCCCCTAACCTGTGTAATATATAATTTCTTTCCTCCTCAGATGTGGTGTTAATTTTGAGTTATGCATTTGTCTTTTTGTGTTTCAGAGCATAGGTGAACTGATGTATGTTATTACCCAATTCCACAGATATAATTCTCCCTGCTACTTTCACCAAAACTTATTTTTCTTTCAGTATTTTGATTTCTTTGGGGAGGAGGATATTTTTCTCAAGCACTAACAGTTGGCATTCTCTTCATATCCAATATCCATGAGGAAGTTTGTTATCGCTTGTCAAGGGTTGCTGTAAATGTATGGACATGTAGACTTAAAGCAAAAACAGTGCTGAGAGGCAGTATGGTGAGGTTGACTCATGAGTTCCATGTCTTGTCCTTTGTGGACCAGCCTTGCCATGTGTGATTTACATGAACAGCTTAGCAAAATTACAAGTGAATGCACAAAACCACAGGGAATGCATCAGCAAGGATCACTCTGCCAAGATTCCAGGCCCTGCCTGCTAGGTTATTGCATCATTTGTTTATAACATTGATTCTTTATTTCTTGTTTCTTGTTCCTGTTCCTGAATATTGCAACTAATTCAATTCCTCATGAGATACTTTAGCTTGTGTCTTAGTTCTTTCTGGCTGCTATAACAAAATACCATAAACGGTGGCTTATAAACAATAGAAATTTATTTCGTATAGTTCTGGAGGCTGGGAAGTCCAAGATAAATGTACTAGCAAATTTAGTGTCTGGTGAGAGCTAGCTTCCTGGTTTATTGACTGCTGTCTTTCCCTGTGTCCTCACATAGCTGAAGAGGGCAGGGGCGCTCTCCGGGTCGTCTTTTATAAGGGCATTAAACCCACTCATGAGGGTTCTACCCTCATGACTCAGTCACCTCCCAAAAGCCCCACCTCCAAATACCATTGGGGATTAGGTTTCAATATAAGATTTTTTTGGTGGGGGAGATCACAAACATTCAGTTGATAGCTTGGAATTCCATTCCTGGTGAAAACACCACATATATGTATTCTCTCTCTATGTATATACACACGTACACACACACACACAAATCTGTAATCCAGTGTTTGTTCTAAAAAACATGTTCTTGTATGCTCCCAGTTAACCTAGCTCCAGTTTTTATATTTAACAGATATTTTTTAAAAAATCAGCAGAGAAACAGTCAAAATTATATTTCCACTGCAATTGTAGACCCTTGCAGGATACAATTTCTATTTAATCTACACTCTCCTTTTCTGAGTTATCTTCATATAAATAAAGCACACTTCAAACGGGGAGGGTTGCTTGAAAATTGCTCTGTATCAAATGTCTTTGATCTGTGAGTAACTTCAACAAATGTTTTACTTCACTAAGTTCTCTCCTGACCCCAAAGTGCATGAGTGGGAATTGGGGAAAAAAATATGAAGAATCCCAGCTTAATTAATTAAGAGACTGCTTAAATTTCCAATATAAAGTATTAGGACACTTGTTATTTCCAAGAGTGTCACTAATACAAGACTCAAATATTTTGAAAGGTGATGCATGTTCAGCATGGTTGAAAGCCTTTCATTTTTCTACTATATTTTTGGTTTTATTTACAGTGTTGCTGCATACATTTTTGTTTCTTATGATTCTGTGCAGAAATGTTGAGCTTTCTTCCTAAGTCTCATTAAAGGTGCATCCTAGTTTCTGGATCATTGTGCACTGAGCTGTAGATCCCAGATTATTGTTGAATTGTGGGTTGTCCTGTCACCTTTTCCGTTATTAATATTTACATAAAATGAAACCAAATGCTTGGGATTTTATGTTCAAATATACCTTTATTCTTCCTGTTTAATCTTGTTCCTCTCCATTGATAATAATGGAAGTTGCTTGGCCATATCAAACCCATAGCTTTGCAATTAACAATTCACACATGCCGTGTGTTGTTATTGAGCCCATATTTGTTTGTGTAATGTGTTTGCATGAATTAAAAACTGCAGGCCAAAAGTAGAAATGAAAAGGCATTGGAAAGTATTTGCATATGCAAGTGCAGTTCCTTCTGAAGACATCTATGAATTTATGCATGAAAATGTAGTCAGAGTCTGAGTGGATCTACTTTGATGGGTTCTAAAATTGAACTCAGGAAGTAAATAAGCACATATTTAAGGAGAGGAAGAACAGGAGATACAATCTGGCAGGCATCATAGTCAACGTGAAACTTAGCCACTACAGAGAGGGTTAAAATAAATTTTACTCTCAGGAATAACAATAATTTTTAAATGTCATGCATTTCCCATTTTATTTTCTTATTCATGAAATCAAAGAGCAGGATCATCTCAGAACTTATTAGCCTAGAGGTACATTAGCAAGGATCATAGCAGGATCATCTCCTGTGGTATTCTTATTTAAAACCCAAGACACTGATCATAAAACAAACATGCTTCTCACATTCAAGCAAGTTTGGCAAACACAGTTGGATGACTCTCCAGATGCTCAGAGTGGAAAAGAATTGCCAGTTACTAAAACTGGTGTGGGGCCAGGGTCAGACCCTGTCCAGTTCCCCTGCAAGTATCTGCAAGTCTCAAATGTGAGAACCTGCCAGACCCCAGCAGGAGAGAGAGGCTAGGTGTTCCTATGAGAAGCTTATGGAAGTTCCCATCAAATTATACCTTCTTCGCTTGCTTTCAACACAGGATCAGCCTCTGCTCCTAAGAAGAGACAATGCAAATTACCTGTCTGGCCTCTATTATGCTGGATCCTCCTGGTGTGAAGGGAGAAAATTGCTGACCTTAGGTCTGTGGCCATTGGAGTAATTAGTAATTAGTAAATGACTAATTCTGCACTGAATAGCATCCTAGTGGTCTGAGAGTTAATGCACCTGACAAAAGTGACCAGTGGTCTAATCTCTGGTCAGACCCAGCCCCAGTCTAACCCGTGAAATAGATGGCACTTTGGATAATGAAGGTCAGCCAAGTGCCCAGGCAGATTGTATAAGCTTGTTCTTTGGGACCCTGAAGTGAGGGTGTAGAGCAGCGTGATACACAAGACATTCCCCCATGGCTTGCGAGCCTCAAGTTAGACTTGAACTCTGCTTTTGCATATTAATGTGCCTGTGACTCTGGTCTACATTTTGTGTTTCACTGGGATTAGTACACCATTTTCAGATGTATTAAACAGGAACAGTGAGAACAACAAAAGAATAATGGCTAACATTCGTTGAGCACTTTCTATATGTCAGGTGTCAGTCTAAGCATTTTGCTGATATTAAACCAGGGGAACGTTCACAACAGTGTTGTGAGGTGGGTCCTATTTTTACTCCGTTTTTGCTGGTTAAGGAAACTGAGGCATGAAGAGGTTAAATAATTCATTCCAAGGTCACAAATAGAGGAATTGGTGAAGACAAGTTTTAAATCCCAGAAGCTGGATTCAAGGGCTGTGTCTTGAACTTGAACTACTGTGTTTGATGCCCTCGCAAAGAAATAAATAAACAAACAAAAACAAGCTCGTAAAGCCTAAATCAAAGGCTGTGAAGTTCCGTTTGTAAACCTTTTTGGTATCAACACCTTTAAACGTTTCTTACTGTAGGAACTACAGTTGCTACCTTGAATGTCCCATGAGCACTTACTGTAGGAACTACAGTTGCTACCTTGAATGTCCCATGAGCACTGCTGATCTTGATTCCTGTGCTCACCCATTTGCCGCCATTCCCACAACTGTCCCAAACTCCCTGTAAGCGTTCCTACCTACAGTAGCTCTCCACCAGCCACCACTGCAGGGAAAAGTTCCTGCTGTCAGAACGCGCGCCAGGCTGTCAGCATCAATTCTTTGCCCTTCCCTCTAGTCATCACCTTTTACCACAACCTCTCAACCTGGAACGCTAACCAAGAAAGGTGTTGCTATCTAAATGATATTGCTCAGGAAAGCAGAACCGACTGGTTTCTGTGCTAGGCAAGGCCCAGTGGGCCAGACAATTCAGCCAGGCTTCTCACGCCTCAAAAAGCCCTTCTTTCTAGTTAGTAGTGCAAGTCTCTGGAGAGGGGGCCAAGATTGAATTCTTTCTTTGCTCCTCAGGCTGTCTCTTTGGGTCAAGGTTGAAGAAAGAATTGGGGGAAGATTGGATTTTTGAAGATACGCTTGCATCAGTTCCCTCAATCAGTTCTAGCACAGAAATAACTTTCGCCAGCCCTTTGATGCACTTAAAAAGTACGTAAAGATGTACACACATACACTTATTCGACTAGGTTTGATTTTGGTATTTCATAAACCAATTATCACTCTTGTGATCTTTAAAATAGTTGGGTCAGTATATTTTACTCTGTGTAATCTGGCGTAGCATAAATTTAACCTGTGTTGATGTGCTAGAAACTCATGAACCACTATAAGCTAAACTGTTAACTGTATTCATTCAATCAATGTATATAAGAATTGGTGAAATACTTTGGAAACCTATGAGCATTTCTGCCCATACCAGTGTCTTAAAAAACTTATTTTTACACTGTACCCAAAGCAACAGTTAGAAAGATTCTGTATTGAAAACCCCAGCCCTTTCCCTACAAAGAGTTTTAGTGAAGTTCGAAAGTTTGTCAGGT